AAACCGCTCTATTATGTGCTGGACTGTAGATGATGGAATATTTACAATCTCAGCTATAGAACGCTGGCTTTTCCCGAGCTTAAAGTGATGAATAACTAATTCCCGTTGCTCTAGGCCGGCGCACTAGGCCCATGATTAAAAATTAATTTTTCCTCGGAACGCTGCTTACACTTTCACACCAAAAGCTGTAATAATTCTACAAACTAAGCTAATACAACACATACCAGCAAGTTTTGTTGGAAATTTTTAATATAAGGGGAATAGTACTGTTAGAAGTTGGCTGCATCAAAAAAGCTGCTCATTTCAAAAATAATATTTTCTTATTATTTTCAGTTTGGTAAAATCAATGCTGAAAATTCCAAATAAATGAAAGATCTGTTTTTAAGAGGAAATAATGCTCTTTATTTTGGCTTTTAATTTTTTGGAATATCTTTTTTAATTCAAATGTTATTAGTATCTAAAGATTATTTTTGTGACTGCATCAATTAAGCTGACACTCACTGTAGCTGAGAGATCCCAAATTGTTGTTCACCCACGCACAGTAACAAGGGCCCTAAATAATGAAGGATTTAACTGCAGAACTAATCGTAAGAAGCCCCTTATAAGTGAGAAAAACCGGAAACTTCGCTTAGAGTTTGCAAAAAAACATATAAATAAGGGAACTGACTTCTGGAAACGTGTTCTATTTACGGATGAGTCCAAATACAACATCTTTGGATACGACGGGAAAGCCAAAGTTTGGAGAAAACCGAACACTGCTATGAATCCTAAGCACCTAATGCCAACCGTGAAGCATGGCGGTGGCATTGTTATGGTTTGGGGAGCAGTTGCAGCCTCAGGAGTTGGAAATCTGGTATTTGTTGAAGGCATTATGGACCGCTTTCAATACAAGTCCATATAGGAAAACAATTTGAAACCATCCATGGAAAAGTTATGCCTAGGAACGAGCTGGATCTTCCAACTGGACAATGATCCTAAGCATACGTCGCAGGTAGTAAAGG